TATTAATATCTCTAGTTCTAAAATCTACAAAAAAGACAATCTATATAATATTCAAATTGATATTAAAGAAATTCTTGTCTTAATCAAAATTCAACAACAATATCAATTAATACTACTAAACCAAAATCTAACCTCTTCACAAATTATTCTTCTTCCTCATGATATACAAATTATTCAAGATTATATTCCATCTTCTCCATATCAAAACCAATTAATTAATCTTTATTATAAAATCTTAAATCATAATTCTAACAACCTCTATTTCTATACGGATGCCTTAATTAAAAATATTAGGACTTCACAAATTCAAGCTGGAATTGCTTGGATTTCTAAAAACTATGCTAATATCTATTTCAATGCAGCAGTTTTTCCTTATTCTGATACTTCCAGAACAGAAATGGAAGCAATACTATATCTACTATTAACTATCTTCTCTAATTCAACTATTAACATTTATACTAATAATACAACCACTATTAATAATATAAAATCTCTATCCAACTAGACAATGAACACTATTCAAGAATACTAACAAGCTTAGTAAATGAAAAGATAAACCTAATGAACATGAAAGCTGCATAGGAATTGTTCGAACACTGGACTGAAATGATGAATATTGCAAAGAATTCGTTAATAAATGCTCAAAAAAAACAAAATGACCAAGCTAACAAGAAATGATTATACCTAGAATTTAAAGAAGGAGATTTAGTAATGTTAAACACAGCAAACCTAAATCTACAAGAAAGTAAGAAAAGACTATCAAGGAAACTTATTTCAAAATTCATAGGTCTTTTTAAGATTATTCAGAAAATTTCAATGGTAGCTTACTAATTAGAACTCCCTGAAACCATGCGTACTCATCCAGTCTTCCACATATCCTTGTTGAAACAATATTACCTAATGAAGACAAAGACACTACTGAATCAACCCAAGATATCGCAAATGAGAATTCAAAAGAACAAGAAATCGAAGCCATATTAGACAAAAGAATCTACTACTGTTGTTCACAATACTTAGTAAAATGGAAAGAGCAACTGTTGTATGACGCGACCTGGAAACTCTTAAAGAATCTTGAAAAATATAAAGACTTGATAAAAGATTTTAAAAAACGTACCCTATAAAAAAAAATTTAAAATTATATTCAGATTTTGCTCAGATTATTTTTTTAAGAAATGAGCATTTTTCATA